TGAAAACTTAAAAATACAAACTGTCCGAAGAAATATAAGCTTGCGATGCCACACCTACCTATCATTTAAAATTTATAATTGTTTGCCATTCATGTACCGTATGTATGTTAATAAAATAAACTCATTGTCTTTGATAAAACCTTTATTTAAAAAATATATTTTTTTAATTGGTAGACAAGAGACTCGAAATCTATATATATATATATATATATATTTTATAGTAGAAATTATTTACTAGAAAACGTACTCGCTAGTATTACTCCTCCTCACCATCCATATTTCTGTAGTTAGTGGAACTTTATTATATAAGTGCTGCTTATCCTTACCTTCCATACTTACAATGTGCTTTTTTCATAAAATCCTGCTCTATGCAAAATCTATTATCAAAATTATATACAAAAAAATCTGCCCGTGCACAACCAACTATTTTGGATTCAATGGGCTTTACAAGACAATTTAAAAATTTTCTGTGACTTATAAATCATGTTAACTTAAGATTTTGTGAAGGTCAGATATTATGTTTTATTTTACGTTTATTATTGTACTGAAGTTAGGATTTGTATTTATTATTTATTTTGGGGGAAATAAACGTATATCTAATCTAATCTAATCTAACTGTTCACTTACTTATAAAAACTGTTCTAAATTGTTTCCATTGAATGCATGCGCCACGCTGTTGCATGTGACACTTATGGGACCTATTGGGCTTGTGCTAATTTCCGGATTTTCTTCCACAATATCAAAAAATTCGTCATCGGCGTTTAAAACGCGTTTTGCGCGAATCCGACCCCCGTCCACTCCACGTCTGAACTAAATGTTTCGTAATGTATTATGTGCCTATTCGTAAATCGGTGTGCATACAGACCAGCAGCGGGAATTTTGCCCTGCTTCTCCGTACGCTAAAACAATGTCCACTAACTCCTCATCAGTGTACACATGTGTCATTTTTATTGATGAATAAGTAAAAACATAAGCTCGCAAAATGCTTTCTCATTTAAATTCACAAAAATCGACCGTTCTTTATTCAAATCATCCACGATACCTTATTTACACGTTCATATCAATATAAAAAAACAAAAAATTCCTGGCATTTTATTTCCGTCAGTTGTTTGATACATAATTTGCTACAATAAATTATTAATGCGTGTTCTAATATCACGACGTTGAACGCAAAATACAGTTATTTATTTTTCAATTTTTAATTAACTTCTGTAGGACCTTTATTACATTTTTTTCTTTTTTTTTTAGAAATCAGCTTCTTTCGCAACAGTACACATATGCTTAAAATTTGTCGGATCAGTTGTGAAACACCTTGTATAAGCAATCTTGCAGAGACAATTCTTTTGATAACTACGTTTTGCTACTCTTATATAGATATACTATTCATTTAAACACTATCCGATTCTCAAAAGAAATATTATGATGGTATCGTGTGCGATACTACATCAGTGACCATCCGCAACTAATTTTCGAAAGTGCATTGTAACCAGAAAACAAGTAAAAAAGTTAACCAAAGAGACGACAAGAGGAAATTAGAAAATGCCTATTTTAAACAGGTGAACAAACATTCTTGTTTCATAACAAAGTACATTCACGATTGAGTATCTTTGGCAGCAAAACTAAGAAACACCAGAAGCAGTTCATCCGTTTGTCTGCTGTGATATATATTATACATAGAGAACTTAAACTTACAACACTCTGCTTTTTGGTCGAGGGTCCACTTTTAAATGATTACGGTAATCCTCACATATACCTTTTTGGAACACCACTAAATCGACATCAAAAATCTTTGGAGCATCTGATAGATCGATTTTGAATTTTAAAGCGTTTTTGTCACAGCAAAGATATGAGCAAAATGGATGAGTCCAACATCTATAAGGGCCAGGCTACGTCATACAGACAGGAAGACGCACACATACGTATCCAAAGACTACCTTCTAAAGTTACTCTGAGCCACTGGTAGGGCTTTTCTGTTTGAAAACAATCACATGAAAAGGTGAATAAGTTACGTCACCATGCTAGGCCAAACGAACTCAACTACTAGGCTGCATAGTTCTTTTGACAGGGGATGGCTTTCATACTCTCAGACAAAAAAGCTCGACAGTATTGCCCTGTCGGGAGACTCTCCAGAAGCGGCATACTAACTAAAACCAGCAGTGAGCCTCTCACCGAGCATCAGTTCTAGCTGTCCTTGATAGTCGATCCATTTATCACATTTGAGAAGATTATCAGGGATATCCTCCCCGTCATTGCAATATACGCTACCTCTTTAGGTAGCTTTCATAGCAACAATATCCTATAAGAAGCTGTGCAGTGTAGTAATTAATCCGCACTACTCCCTTGGTAATCCAGGATTTTAAAATCTTAAATCGACCTTATAGTCTATGCACTATGATCAATTACATCCCATCTCTCCTGCCACCTAAGAAAAAGCATCCCTCTTTCATCGTATCTAGCTTCGGCGTCATTTTTATGGAGGACGCAAGCTTCCTCAGCCTGCAAATCAATTTGAGGAACGCCAGCCACTTCTTATGATACCTTTTAAAACAACAGTTACTGAATACATGACCTTATACAATAGTTACATTGGCATTTCAGAGGATTGTAATTTAAAGGAAATGTTACACTTTTCTACTGATGGCAACGCTGACCGACTTGATCACTATGCCACTCCCTAGCACGTTACTGATTGACCGTTGCATTTCGTTAATAATGCTGTGAGAAGGTATTGTTTAAGATTGTAGTAACTCAGACACGTTTCATCATATAATACGCGCAAGTTGGAAATACCAGTGAACCAAATCATATCAAACCGATTGAGGGTGAAGCATTATTTGTGACTAATTACTTAAACAATAAAGTTACAGAGAGCTGTGAACCTAAACGTAAACTTAAGAGACACATACAAACAGTCTTAAACAAGGCTCCCTCCCGTGGATATAACTCTCAAGATTTGCTATAAGGCTGGAACTCTTAATGTGTATTAGTTTTCCTACTATACTGGTTGATAAAAAAAGCAATCCTAGCGAAATTTGTAAAAATTCGCATGTTGCCAAATTGAATAATGATCGGATGAAGTAGTCATTTGATATAGAGAGTGATTCACAATAGCTACAATATTAACAAAGCAAAAAATAAAGTTAAGCAGATTGACTCTTTACTTTACGCGCCTCTGAAACAAGTTATAGTACAATTTTTCAACTAGTGCAATGACATCAAAAAGACGTAGCTTTTTTCTAACCCAGTAGAATGCGTGAAGGTATGGTATTCTTAAAACGGAACAGTTGCCTGTGGTTGTATTAGATATCAATGATACTGGCTCCAGAATTTTTAGGAAATGAAGTTTGAATGGGAGCATAACCTCATATGGAGCTGCTGCAATTTTTAGGAGGTGCAATACATCCATTTTTTGTTCATGTTCCGCAATACCATGCTTTTATTTTCTATGCCAATTGACAAGGAAGTATTGTAGTCGCGAAAAATCAAGGTATGCTTTTGTTTAGATTGACTTCATAATTCTCACAACTTTTTGTACATTTTTTCATGTAGTGCAATGACATCGAAAATACGTAGGTTTGCCAGATAGATATGCACTATTTGGACTTTTCATGAAAAGAAATTTCCACAGACCGCAGCAGTAAGCATATCCAAACACGGAAGTCTCATTTTTTTGGAGCTTTGATGTAAAACTATTTTTCAGCAATGTTTTAAACTGATTATGATCGCTGTTGATAAATATTTAACATATATACTATGTACTATTACGTCACGAGATTAAATAACATTATTGAACTACACGCAAAGCATGACGCTCATATTTATAGTTATATACGTATATATAACTATAATATATATATATATAATGATGTAATATTTATAAATAAGCCCTTGGTGCACGACATATGCGACCGATAGGAGATTTGTATGGTGAAAATATTTTCAAGTTTCAAGGGCAGATGTACGGGAAAATCTGTGGCGTATGAAGTATATTTAATAGGTGCGTAGAATTATCGCGGTTGGAAGTGTATTTCTATACTAACATCAAAAAGTTGTGAAACACCCTCATCTACCCAACTACAACCTTTCACCCCTACTTTTTTACTCGTAACTTGTTTTCAAAAATAATGAGATGCGCTAAAACATAGAAAATAAAGTTTGAGAAATTTCTTTTCGTTTTTGGCCCTTTTCAGCGCCGCCACTAGACCGATCTTCGTTTTAGTAACCTTTTTCACTCAAATACGAGAAGTACTTTCCAAGTTATAGAAGGGCCAAGAATTAGCTGATAGATCGATAGACCGAAGTAAATGAGTAACATGGTTTTTTGGAATGTCCATATCATGAGATCCAAAAAATATACATCATTTTCGAGATTTTTTGCGATTACCTACAATACTTCCTCTGCCAGGCATGGAAAGGAAAAGCACATCTACGAATAACATCAAAAGTCCATATATGCGCAGGTTCTATTCCATTATAGGGTGTTGTCAACACCAGAGACGGCAATAGTTGAATGGCAGAACATGGGTATTCTTCAAATAACGTTAAAGTGAAGCGGCAATAATTCCGTAATATACTACCCATAATCCTCAATATCAAAAGTTGACTAGCCCCAGCATATTCTTAAAGCACATTCAAGCTTTTTATGCAGATTCTAGTACCAATAACAAAATCAAGGTTATTCGAAAAGGAACTGACAAGTGTTGCGTTTTCTTTTCTGGTTCTTAGGCCACTAGCAGAGTCTAAGCCATGAGTATGATATACGTTTGTCTTGTCAGCTTTGGTTATCTCTTTTCATCGATTTCAAAATTTCAACTTGAACATCCGATATCTCGGTAAAGTGGTATTTTAGAATCCATGTTTATGAGAATTGTTCGTATTTTATTTTCTAGAAATCAATTTTGTAGCCACCCTGGACTTGGATTCGTTTATAAGGGGGAATATTGCTTGCCTCTCTAGGAATAGGTTGCCACGTCATAAATGTGACCTTTCCTTTATCATAGTTTCGACCTTCATCAAAGAAGATGAAGCAGCCTTAGATGTTGAGGTTCATCGAAAGCATAATTAATATGGTAGGTAATAATTATAGTTAAGCTACTCTTATACCGACGAAGTTTTGATTCTTAATCTCATTTTGCCAGAAAGTTTCAAGTAGCTTCTAGAACAACTGGGTATGGGATTACATACATACACACACTGAGATGCAGCCGGTAGTTATCAAGATCCCGTTTTACTTTGTGACGTTGGTTAGCTCCACAGCTAATTAATCTTTTAGTAGTATTAAGTAGCGCTGGTGCTCCAAAGAAAAATAAGCTTGTTCTATGGCACACAAGCATCAGGCTGTGTGTATACATAGACTACTCATCTTAATTAGCGGGTCACTTTCTTTGGCTACTTACTCAAGCTTTCCATTACGTGTTTGTAGCAAATGGCAATTAATTTTATCAAAGTATTCTGGTATTTCATCTCTGTATTCAATCTATCATATCCAATCAACCCTTTATGGTATACAGATTCGTAGCATATATTATAATGTTTGGGCATTAAATGGAACTCATCTTTATTATAATGTCCGGGATTTGATGATGTTAATTTAGTCAGACATGGTAGAAATATATTATGCGTTTATAATATGATTACAAGATATTTGATAAAAGTGTTCACATTGAGCCATATGTCTAATTGAAGTATTTTTATCTTTATTCAGTATCATTCACATGCGCTCGTTTTGTAAGATTTGCAAATGGAATTATTAGCTAAATACAGAATAGTCAAACAGCACAAGGAATTTGGAAGAATGATAGTACTATAGATAATTTTGTACTATATGAACTCAGACATCCAGAAACTCTTGATAAATATCCCACTATACTACTTATATTGTTTATAACTTTTTCAAAATGAATACACTTAATCGAGAGTCATCAAAAACCCCCAGGCATTTAGAATTGTCTCTAAATTCACCACCAGTATTTACTTTCTAGCCATTTACATAAGAGATACCAGTCATAGTACATATGTATGCAAATCAAAGTTCCATCGACAAACATTCGAATTTTGCATTTACAACTATATGAATCGCCTTGTATAGCCGTCCCAAATAGCAGAACTATCTGTCGTTATCTGCGATCCAGTGGATACACAGTTTTGCCTAAAGCTACGTTTTCAATACAAAAAACGCCGCAACAGGCACCAGAACTGGAAATTGTCTGCTGCGTGTTGCGGCAACTACCATGGTCAAAGGTACGCAAAGGGGCTGCGATGCACAACATGTGCGGCAAATTGCACTGAGACCATTTTAGTTTGCTACATGTTCCGGTACATGTTTATGTACAAACGTTAATGTAATCGTCCACATCTCAGCATCAGATGCATTATACTTTTCGCGTTGCCTTTAATTTCTGATTTATAGTTTTGTACGTAAAAATTGACACAGAGCCATATAGAAAACAATAAGACAATCGATTAAGATGATAAGGGCAAAAGGGCCTGTGCTCGATAGACAGAAGTAGACAAAAGACGAATGCGATTTTGCATCTGTATGAGATTTGATTTGAATTGGGTAGACAACAAGCTTTGAAATAAAATGTGATATTTTTGTGTGTTTTTGTTTTCTATCTGAACAAATTAAGATAAATAAAGATTTTTCTAATTTTCTCGAAAACGAATCGACTGATTCTAAAAAATCAAACGCCAAAATAAAGGTCTTCAAAGACCTTTTAAACAAGCTATCACTCGATACCCTTTGTCATCTACAATTTTCAAGCGAGTGACCCTGGAGGACCGAGGCTGAAAGGGGGTGGATTAGTTTTTAGTTAGGAAGTTCCCCCTTAACAAGTCTTTTGACGTGTCTCGGCGTTTTTTTATTAATCAGTGGTTTTCGATTCATCCGTGGGGGAAAGTTTTCAAGTGATCACCCTGTAGACTCAGTGACATTAGAAGTGTTATACCCATAAAGATTAATTGATTTTTTTTTTGGAACGTAACGGCTATATTAAAAGCGCAACATGATGACTATATTTAAAGCATGCTGTGGCAAAAATGACAACGTTTTATCTTTGTATTTGTTTACCTTTGTTAAAATATTATCTCTCAGTTTTTGTGAAGAAAGCAGTATCAGAGGGCTAAGTAGTACAGATATTTTTAGTTATTGCCCTTTCATTTACGTTAACCATAACAAAATACCTGGAGTTCGAAGACTTCCAAATTATCACCATGTTGGCGATTCTGACAGGGGTAGAATTATTGCTTATCGAGATGTTGGCTTGTCCTATCGCGATTGGCCGCCGTCTTAATTGGACTGCAATGACGGTAATGCGTGTGTGTCGCGTGTGGACAGAAGAAGGTAGAGGAATACGAAGAAGGCCAACTGGTCCACCAAGAGAGAGTCAAGATAGGCGCTTCAGCTCAAGCATTTGGACTTTTTTCATTCCATCCACGGTTAGTGCTTGTTCTGACTGAGGACCACTGACTGTCGTCAACGATTGAACTAAACCAGAGAACTGCAGCATTGAGAGGCAGAATGGCATAATATCATCTCCAGCGACGAATCGCAATTCTGTCTAGGTACGCACGATGGTCGGAGAAGAGTAAGATGCCGCCATGGAGAACAACGTGATATTGGATTTGCTGTTGAGTGGCATGTACACAGGACTGTTGGAGTAATGATTTGGGAGGTTATTGCCTATGGTAGCCGATCACTCCTTCTCTTTGTTCAAGGCAATATGATTGCTCCACGTGATGTTGACGATGTATTTAAGTCGCGTCGAGCGTGTGTGGGATATGATGGGGAGGAGACTATCCACTTTGCACCATACGCCACAAACTCTGCCACAGATAATCCACGAAGTTCGAGTTGCTTGGAATGAGGTGCAACAACCAGACATCGATCGTCTCATATTGTAGCTGCCTAGATATATACAGCAGTGTATTCAGCTGCGGGGTCGCCCAACACATTATTTTTTTTCCTTATCACTTGTCAATAAAATTCCCTGAGAATGTTATCGTTTCATCTTGGTGTAACACTACCTCATTGTCAAGTTGGAGAAATTATTTTTGCTGGCTGCAAAACTTCTAATGTCACTGGGTATACAGGGTGTAAACGTTATGGTAGTCATTATTGGAATGGGTAATAAGAGGGGTCAAAAAAAGTCAAAACGTTCATATGACCCATGGTCCAAAAGTCAATAGATTTTTGTCTAAATGGCTTTATAGTTTACAACTTTAAGGGCCGATTTCACCAACATTAATATTATGAACCAATGGGAAAATACCTTATCGAAATGCAATTTGACAGACGTTGTCAAAGGTCTCAGAATATCAGTGATTTCTATTAAAATATTGAATAAAATCGTGAAAATTCGACTGTAGTATAAATAAGACCACTTCTTGGTTCCAACATGATGCTTTTGTACAGAGAAAACAGGTCAACTTTCATGTATTTTGATTTGTGTTATAAATTTACATTTATCAGTTATCCACAAAAGCCAATGGGAATGCGGCAAATAATAGGTCGATTTTGGACGTTTGTTAATGCATGGCAATCTCGAATTTAAGTTCAATATACTGTTATCATTACATACCTGTTGAATAGTGTGGATTTGTCTGTATTTTGCAAGAAAATAGAATATAAAATACATTCCATCCAATTCCTCTTCTTCCTTTACATCATAATAGTATTCATTTATTAATTTACGGGTTAATGAATTTCTTCAAAGCAATAAAAACATTGTCATCTGCATCCTAAAACACAGATAATATGTGTAAGACGTGTCGATCCCTGCATCTCCGTGATGCATAATGGTGGGGTTATCTATCTGTCACTCGCAGGGTTGCCAAGTCTAACGACGATCATGTCCCGTGATGAAGGGTGCGACATGAATCTTTTACATTTACTGGTTTTGAATTTAAAGTTGGAATACAAACATATTACTTATGATAGTTCTAGCTAGACTGTTAACACTTCTTGAAGAATATTTGAAAAATGTGAACACCGTCATGGTCTGTTGCCAAATTGCAAATGAAGTATCTGAAAATTCTTACATACAGTGGACCTTCGTCATAGTTTACTATCCTGATTATGACCATTTGTAGCAGATGAATTGAATTGATGAACAAATATAAGAAAGCTCTTATATACCTACATACAGAGGATTTTTCATGTGAATTTACTAGGTATCATGATTATAAGCATCATTGATGGATTGTTGGATCCGGAATGGGAAAGATCTCCTATTTATGAAAATATTTTTGGTATCATCTAACCGTTGCAATCAGTGCACAAAAACTAACATATGATTTATAGCATAACCCGCTGCCCTATCAATACAAATTTAACATACAGGAGGCCTAGCCGTGGGGATGCAGTGGTCGGAATGAATATCACGGCAGCAACTGATGATTTGGGCATGTCTGGTAACAATGTATGAAGTGAAGCTCGCTAACTTCACAATTTTGAAGATTTTGTACAATTTCTTTGAAAATGGTGAAAGATATGTCTGATTTGGCAGGGCAATGTCGCAGCCAAATGGCAGTCACTCTTTCTGACACAGTCCGGATCGAAAGATGACGATACTCGTGAAATGTATTGATACTTCTAAATATAGGATCGTATCGAACATCCCTACAGTCAAGATGTATAACCCAAGGTACCGATGGAGCTATTTTGCGGCGTCATGGAAATAATTTTAAATTTTCATTTGCATTTTTTCAAGTGTTGTGCAATGATTTTGGGAAAAATGTCACGAATAGTCTTATAAAGCATAGTAGAGTATATTTCAACAGTTGGCGGAACTTACTCTACTGGGACCAGGAAGGTGAAACGGTATATTAATGCACAATCTGGCAACCCTCTCGCACCCTCACAAAATGGCCGCTGACAACCACACAAGTCACCGATTTGTCATTGAATAGCATGGAATTAAACCTTCAGAGTATATGTCTTGTGACTGTTACCAAGAGTTGACAGATCCCACACATGTGTCACTCCTTGAAATGCAATAATCAGCTGTATTCAAATAATGTCTAATATAAATATAACCTAGAATGTGTACTCGTGAAAAAAGAAAA